GGTACGGCAAGCCTGCATCTTGCTGCCCGAGATCTGCATGGGCGGGTTATCGCAGCCGATGCACTCAGCGCAGGACGCGAAGGGCAGGTCGTTCTCGTCAATGAAGTAGAGGGTGTCGATCTTCCAGTACGCGTCTTTGAGCTGGCCGAAGGTGCTGGGCTGAGACAGAGTGTGCGCTCCGCGGAGCCGCTCGGGCTGCGCGAACGGCGGGAAGAAATCGGTCTTGGGCCGGCCCTTCGCGGAGCCGCACTGGCCCCACTCGCCGTTGCCAAAGGCGTAGACGCTGCCGTCGGCCGCGAGGACGAGCGTGTGCTACATCGGGTGGAGGAGGAGTGTCGATGGTGTGTGGAGGGGAGATGACTACGGTGCGGCTGATTAGATACGGGGGCTCGCCTCGCGGCCGCACGAGACGCTCACGGCATTGGTGACGTTGGCTAGAGGCTTGGGCGTGTCCACGTTGCCCTGGTAGACGTGTCTCGCCTGGTTGCGCAGGCCGACGCCAAGCAGGCCGGGCACCTCGCGCCCGGCGTAAGAGACGTACTCTGATCCCCACACGAAGCACCGGCCGTCGTGCACGGTGGCGCCGTGCGTGCGCCCAACGCTCAGCACAGGAGCGTGAACGCCAGAACGGCGCTCGTCCCAAAGCAGCTTTGCGAGCCACGTGTCGAAGGCGTCGGGCAGAGCCGCCGGCTGTGGGCCGTGGCGCGAACGGAGGGCAGTTTCCACGACACCGCCCTCGGCCGCAAAGGACTGGCTCACTTGAGCAAAGCGCGCGAGGGTGACCGCCGAGGCGGGCGGCAGATTGGTGAGGATGAGAGTCATCTCGTCGCTGTGCAGGTATGCGTCGTCGCCGGTCGCGTCGGTCGTCGTCGTCGCGTCGGTCGTCGTCGGTCGTCGGTTGGCGTCTCTCACCATCGTTTTTGTTTCGTCTTTCTGTGAATGGCGTCTGACAGCCGATTAAGAATTGCGCGGTAATTAAATTCTTTTTCCTGCGGCAAAATTCTTTTTCCTCAGCTCCAACTCGTTTCCCTGCCATGCCGACTGCGAGCCAGCAGCCGCTCCACATCGTGTACGCCCTTGTTGTGGTGTACGCCCTCTGCTACCAGCTCCAGTCGCCGATCGAGCCGTTCCTGGTCGCTCAGCTGTCCGAGGCCAACGCCGACGCCGCTGCCGAGTACGCGAGCCTTCGCACCTTCTTCAACTGTGTGCAGACCGTCGGCTCGTTTCTGGTCGGCTACAGCGCCGACGTGATTGGGCTGCGCGCCTTGTTTGCCCTCAACTTTGTCGCGTGCGCTGCGTCCTACGGGCTGCTCTGGCAGGCGAGCAGCATGGCCGGGCTCTACGCGTCCAAGGTGCCCACGCTCTTCATGGCGGGCTTCCTGTGCGCACAGACCGCCGCCGCCAAGCTGACGCCGGCCGGGCCGGCACGAGCGGGCGCGCTTGGCCGCCTGACCACCGCCTACACTCTCGGCGGCGTGGTCGGGCCCGCGGTGGGTGGCAGGATCGGCAACGAGGTGGCCGCGCCGCTTGCGGTGGCGGGCTCGCTGCTGGCGGCGTTGCTGGTGCTCCTGCTGCCCGCCGCCGTCG